TTATTATTATTAATTATTATTACTATTATTATTAATTGATTAATTAGTTAATCAGTATTTATTAATTGATGTATATATATCTTTCTTTTTTCTTTTTCTTTTTGTAGAATGTTCATGGGATTGCACTCAATCTGGGACTTCTTTGTCTATTATAAGGAAACTTTGTCTCTAATACTTTTTGTGACAGATTCTGTGCAGTCGAATTTGAACATTAATTTTTGTTAATGCATTTTCCTCTTTCTCTCTTCACCTTCTTTTTCTTCTGTGTAGTTTATGGGTAGATTAGTGTTATTTTCATTTATATTCTGTAGCGAGAGAAAAGCCAAAAAAGAAGGAAAAAAGAAAGTATAATGTCAAATTTGTTACTGATCACAATTAGAGGTTTAAAATCTAGGAGACTATTGTGACAATCTTGTTGGTCTGGAATACAAACATTTGATAATAATCATTAGTATGTTAGGTTATTAATGTGAAAATTGTTTCAAATGTAGTTGCTATGTTAGTTTCAGTGGTTGATATTGGCCTACTGATAATTCACAAATTATGTGAAATAGTGGTAGATTCTTTGAATGTACTTTGTTGATGTGGGATATGAATATGATCATTATTTATTGATCATTATTGATAATGTTGTTGAAAGGATGTTATCATTACAGCAAGCTGTATTTTTTTATGTTTCGAAGCTGGATGTACATTGCATACATATAAGATAAATGTGATATGTTTGAATGGTTTCTAGAAAGATCAGACTGATTATCCACTTCCATAGGTTAACCATGTAGTTTTTCATGTTGGAAGAAACCAGTGAGACAGCTCGGCTTTGTGCTTGTCTTATGCGATGTTACTTTTAGGCTTTTGTGGGGAAGCATAAATGATGCATTTCTTAATCAAGGGCAATGTGTTTTGAAGACCTTTATATAGGGTGATTGGGAGGGAAATGCAGAGAGGGAAGGAGGGAGTTGGGGAGGGAGGGAGGGAAATGGCATTGTTTTACCTTAATATAAACAGCTTTGATGGCTTAGATCTGTCTATGCAGTGTAAGAATATTGGTTTCTGTTTAGGGGTCATTTAAGTTTGCTTCCAAGTAAAGAAAAAAAAAAGAACTTGTTATATATATCATGATGTTCACTCAGTGCACTTAAATGTGTCTGTGCTTAGTGTGTCTCTCGCCAGTAAGAGTCAGTGTAGTGAGCACTCCAGTATTCATGCTTGTAAATGCCCACTTGAGGATGAGCATCTGAGAAAGCATGTGTTAAAACGCTCATGCTTACCTATATTGCGCATACTACTACCTTAAGATGGTCCCTCTTAAGGTTTTCTATTTTCATATTTACAGAACAGGTATTATATTTTTACTTGATCAAGCTCTGGACATAGTATACCTATTGCTAAGACTACTACTGTGCATTGTATCGATTCCTGTTCATTTCAGGTGTTTATCCAGGAATGAACAAATGGGATAGCCCTAGTAGAAGGAATTTTCATAGTTGTTGTACATAGGAGATTAGCTGTAATAAAAATGTTAAAATTGAAAAAAAAAAAAAAAGAGCGAGAAGGAAGGTAAATAATTCATAAGTGTAGATTTGCTGTATATTTTGAAGAAGAAAAAAAGGAATGCATCGAGAAGTGCTTTGATATATTGCATCAACATACGTAATATCAAGGAAAAAAAAAATTCAAGAATGAGCATTAATGTAGTCTGCAAGGGTCTCATGATGAAGAGTTACAAGACCTGTTGTTGAATTGCTGGTGACTGATAAGGGAGTGAATGATGACTGCGAGAAGAGTGCGTGAACGTGATCTTATAGAGTTGAACATTGGGGATATGGCATGTTTTGCCAAGTGTGTGGGTGTGAGGTCAGAAGCAGATTGGGTTGTTCATAGGTTACTGATAGAGAGCAAGTTATGTTGAGCTATTTAGCAGAATCCATTATACAATGGAATTTTTTTTTTTTATTATTATTATTTTTTTCATTTTTACATATTTTCAGAGGAGCAAAAGTGTTTATCGTTTGCCATCGTTTATGTGCATCCAAAGCTGATATTGATGTTGCCTTTGCAGTTAATGATGATATTGTGTTGTGAGAGATTTGTGCAGCCAGATTCATTTACAAGGACGAGGTATTGCATTATTATTATCATTATTATTATTATTTATTATTATTATTATTATTATTATTATTATTATTATCATTATTATATTATTATATTATATTATATTATCATGATGATTGTTATTATTACCTTTATTGTTATTATTATTATTATTATCTTCATCATCAGCATCATTATTATTGTTATGTAAGGAAATATGAATAGTTACAAAAGTTATTTGTGGTCCCATTAGGTAAGTATTGGGACTTCAGTGGAAATTACGTACTTATATTTTGTAAATCTAGGAATGAATATAATGAATCATATTCTTTGTCATTATTTCAGTTTTGGAATGATTGTGTGTATATATATTGAATATTTTTTTTCATTATATATATATATATATATATATATATATATATATATATATATATATATATATATATATATATATATATATACACACAAAAATACATACATATTTACATACATACATACATGCACAGTGTATTGAGTATACATATTTAAAAAGCCACTATAATGAAGGCACATACTGTAATAGTGTTTTCTACTTATTATTTTTTGAATGAGTGAACCATAATTCCAAGCAAGTCTTATTTCGTTAAGATATTGTTTCTTTTCACAAGGTCTCAAATACTGACCCAAGATGAACAGGAACGTGAAGAACATTTCACTTTTCTAATTGGCCTTTACAGTTACGTTATAGAAAAGCTTGAAGAATTTTGCAGCAGTGCTAGGACTTTTGGGAATAATAGCTGTCATATGGAAGGAGCATGACAGTATTTGTAAATGTACTTGGATATGTGTATATGTATGTGTAGATATAAATTTCGGACACAGACACTCCTGAACATGCGTGTGCACGTGTGATCTGTCATTCATACAGACACAGACACACACACACACACACACACACACACACACACACACACACACACACACACACACACACACACACACACACACACACACACACACACACACACACACACACACACACACACACACACACACACACACACACACTCTCACACTCACACTCACACATGCACATCTATACATTGACATACACATGCATACATATATATATATATATGTATATTAACTCACTTGCTAGGAACAACGAGAGCAATCAACACAGAGTGTAGTTTGCACCGTAGGTTAACACATTATATCTTGGAAGTTTCTAGTTTGTTGAACGTACACCTGCCCAGGGTCAATTTTTTTTCGTGCTCTGATTGAATGAGAAGCAGAGAGAAAGAGTGAGAGAATAGATATAAAAGAGTGAGAAGAGATGCCGCGGATTTTCAACCGTAATATCCCCTCCTAATGCTTAAAGATGATGTTGTGTTGTGCTAAAAAATAGTGATGGAGGATGTTCTTCTTTTGACTCTTCCCAGCGACAGATTTTGATTTGTTGGGTAATGTTACAGGTGTGTTACCATGGCTGTGAAGTTAAAAAAAAGAAAAAAGAAAGATATAGAGTGTGTAATGAAATGATTTAGTGTTAGTGAACCAGAGATCATGCAAATTGTGCTTCGCTAATGATAAATTTTAGATTTTATTATTATAAGAAAAAATGCTGCTTCAGTAATTGTGTGTGTGTGTGTGAGATTGTGTGTTTGTGTGTTTGTGTGTGTGTGGGTGTGTGGTGTGTTGGTGCTGCTGCGCTTGCGTGCGTGCATGTGTGTGCACGTGCGCGCATACATGCACATACACATAAAATATACATATATACACACATGCACATTACTTTACTGATATGTAAAAGTATGTATTATTTTGTAAAATGATGTTAATTTGGAAATTACATAAATGGGTAAAATTCTGCATGGACAAGTAAGGCACTTCAAACAGCAGTTGAGATTTTTTTGTGTTTTGCAGTGTAGCACAGAATGCTTAGTATTTGATATTACTTAGACCTACTATTGACTTTGGGCTTACACTGTCTGCATTGATTTCATGTTCGCACCAATTTTTCCCATCATGGCCATAAGACGAATGCCCATCTGTGGGAGATGGGCCAGCAGAGACGAGTATTTTGAGGTTCCTTTGGTTAATATGTGGAGAGGCTTAATATGAAAAAGAAAAGTATGTTCTAAGAGAATAGAGCCTCCGAAGGTTTATATAGCCTGCTCACTCATATCGATCGTCCTTGGATTTCGAAGGCAGAGGGCTCTTTTGTGTTTTACCGCAGTTTGAAGTAGCTCCAGTTTAACTTTAAGGGTTATTGTAAAGTGGTTTGTTAAAGGAAAAGTTTGTTATATATATTTAGATTTTTTTTTTCCCCCTCTATCCCAACATAGAGTTAATGAGATGATTTTAAACTTATTCCTCATTCAGTAAAGAAAAGAAAGAAAGAAAAAAAAAAAATGAAGAACACTGTGTAAAAGAGAATTTTTCCTAATCATATATATTTTGTATAACTGTATAGCTTAATCATAATATATTTGTGATTTGTATGATCATAAATTATAATTATTATAATTTTGTAAGAATGTGGCTTGATTTCAGACTGTTGATACAAGTGTAATTCCTAAATATTTGAGCGATATCATGTCCCTTGTTGGATGTTAAAATATAGTTTTTGTGCGGTCAGTATATCTGGCACATAAAGACAAAATTTATGATAGTGGTTGATAGTGGCTAGGTTTTTTATGATTGTTATTATTGTTATTATTTTTATTTGTTTATTTATTTATTTATTCATCTTTTTTCTTATTGAAGTGCGAAAGTGATTACTTGATTCTTTTATTATCTGTTTCCTCCTCTTACTGTTAACCATGTCATTCCAATTGGTTTGGTCATCGGCACTGTGTGATTTTTCTATTAAGTGTTCACAAATGTATGGAAAAAAAGGCCACGTTTCATTTAATACTAGAAGT